GAAATAATGCTTATGGAGACGAAGCCGTTCCTCCGACAGCAGATCTGGTAATATCCATGGCAACACCTGTGGAACAAACTCCAGCACAAGCTGATCAGACATATGCTGCTGTAGGTACAGTGGTATCCAGTGGTTATTAATTGTAATATAACACATTAAACAGATTCTCATGTGTGACAAATTTTGTGATATTTGGCAAACCTCTGAAGTTCAGATCTCTGACAAAAATATGAAAGAGTTGGCAGAAAACAATCATTAACCTTCTTCCATTTTCCTCTTCTTCATCTATCTGAATTTAATCATTTCGTAATTAGTGAAGCAGTAACCAGAAATTTGCGTGAAATTTCTTTGAATTCCCATATCAACTTCACGATGACAGCCTACCTGTAAACATTTTCCAATGTTTTTTTCATCTTCGAAGAAAGAAAATTAGGTTTGCATACAATTCTTGATCACTGTTTGTATTAGTTTCGCTGTCTATTTCACCTGTAATGATGTGCTTCCTTGTAGAAACGCTCTAAAGGAATAAACTTGGCAATGTATTGGATATTTATACATAATGAATTGAAAATTGCGATTTAGCAATTTTGATCAATACTCAGATGGAAATTAGTAACAACATAATTTGCAGCAAACCCGGTATAAATTGGAGCATCTACATGGAAAACGAAACAGAAGTGTGATAGAACTAAGACGAAGAACTTTCAGCAACATGTCCATCCATCATCACCACAATTACTCCACTTCACATAAATCATTTCGATGAAATAGCATCAGCCCGTTTGGAATATGTAAAATACGATCAGACGGACAAGTGGAAAGAACGCAGTACCTATATAATTTTATTCAAAGCATTGAAATTTTACGCACATGAAGCTTAAAAATGTGGATGTTCAATATAAAAAGATTAGGACAAATGCGAAATCATCATTAAACTACAGATTAACATCAGTTAAGATAATGAAATAATTTAGCACAACTAAGATGCATGTCAACAAAAATTATCAACAAGGAAGCATCATTTCCTTCTACAGAATGTTTACAAGTTATCATGAAAGAAAAACCTAGCAGTTCTGATAATACTCATCAGTTTCAATATTCAACTCCGAATCTTCCATTATTGATTCAACGAACATTTCATCACACCATTTTAACTAATCACATCTATTAACTCATGATGGGTACTGCAATAGACCAGTATCCGGTGCAAGCTCTATGATTGTTTTCTGTACTTCACGGAATTTCGGATGGTCTGCGCCTTTTAACAAACTGAGAATGGCACATTCACTGGTTGTCAAAACAGCGCCGGCAACTTCCATTTGTCGTAAGCCAAACATTCTTTAAACAAACATTTAACTGAGCTGTGTTTTGCATGTCAAGTAAATTAAATGAAAATATTTGATTTCTTTTGAGTTACGCGAAAGCTTGATATACAGTTGACAATTTGATTTATGTTGCTGTAAAAGATACCTGTCAGTCTGTGAACGAGATGAGACAGCATCCGCAACAACATGTACAGCAATTCCTTTTTCGAGCATATCAAGGGCTGTATGTAAAACACATACATGCGTTTCAATGCCACATAATATCACAGACTGAGATGATTCAAGCATTTCAGTCACAGGTGGAATACACATACTGAATCTTTTCTTCTCAAAAATTGGTATATTATATTTGTCTAGGTCCAATTCAGGCACTGTATGTCCAAGCCCTAAACAAAAAATTAAGTTCACAATAATTAAAAGCTAGAAAAATTCAATTGCATCTATGGCTCGTAATACTCTCAACTAATTTAATATGGCAATACTTTTCAAGTTCAACATCAGAACTCTGTTTTTCTTTGTTCTATGTTTTAAAACACAGAGTAATAAAATTCATAAATGCAATGATGGAAGCTAGAATCATTCCACTATAAAAAGCTCCTCAACAAACGAGCATATTATATTTAATGACATTCGTTCAGACTGTTGGTCAAGAATCATAGTATCCTATTATATTTTACCTTTTGGATACTGTTCAGTAGCAATAACTTTCATATCAAGAAGTTTTGCAGCGACAATGAGACGTTTGCTGATGTGAATAATTTCTTCAAAATATTTGATACTGGGCCTGTAATTTCAAGAGAAATCTTACATTAAATCTATAAAAGAACAACCCGATTGAATTGTTATAAATGAGACGGTTCCCAACGACGATTTGATAATCAAATGTTAAGAATCCAACCACGCTCTGGTGATATCCCTCTTCTAACAGATAACAGAATAAAGGTTACCTGAACTTCTCTTGGATATCACAGATCAGCAGTGCTGAATTTAAAGGTGACAGTCGTGAAGCAGCACGTGAGACAGCCATCCCTTTCTCCCAATCGATCTAATGCTCTACAGCCGCTAAACAAAACAATGCTCGCCGCGATCTCTCCCGTCAATATGGGGAGCGACCACGTTCCAAATACCATCTTTTTTATGCACCCAAAACCATACTCTTCCACTTATACAAACCCCTATGAAATCTGTACAGTTCTGTGTCATGACACAGCCAGTCCCAGAATAGCATTGTGACTTCTTTAAATTTTTCAATAGAAAGAGAAATTTATTGATATTACAAAAACATGAAAATACAAAACCAAAGATATTAAAAAATAAATCATTTCACCATTGATTTAGAGAAACTGTAGTTTTTCTATAACAAATATTAGGTGAACAGAACAGTACAAATATTAGGTGAACAGAACACGAGATCAAAAAAAGCCCACAAGTTCGACATCAAACAAAAAATTCTACTGCTTGAGCAATTTTCACTTAATTCCACTATAATTTAAAATTTAAGTTGATGAACGGACTGTGGCATAACTATTAAAACCTGATCACCAATTAATCAACTTCCTCCATCCTTGACGCATCTTCCTCCGCACCAACTAGATTTGGTACACATTCATCCTTCTCACCAGAAACAGATGCAACTACTTCTTCTTCTTCGTCTTCCGTAATATCTAGTCCGAGCTGAAAAACCATATATCTCGGTCTCAAATAAATGATCCGACTTCTCCAAACTGTTTCTAACCCACTTTCTAAACGATCTTTGTTTTATTCGAAACAATTCAATTACTACCTTGATCATGCGATATATCCTCGATGCATGCAGTTGCGGATCATCAAGCGAGAAGCCAGAAGAGAGCAAGGCAGTTTCAAATAGCAAAACTACCAAATCTTTCACGGTCTTATCGTTTTTGTCCGTCTCGACACGCTCTCGCAACGCTCTGAAAACAATCAAATGAGATAATAATCAGTTTGCCCTCCTCTCCCCCCCCCCCTCAAAAATTTAGATTTATAAAACCAACTTGATGACAGAATGATCAGGGTTGATTTCGAGGTGTTTTTTAGCAGCCATATAGCCCATCGTCGAAGAATCCCGCAGAGCTTGCGCTTTCATGATTCTCTCCATATTAGCAGACCATCCATATTCAGATGTTACAATGCAACACGGTGATGAGACCAATCGATTGGATACAGCAACTTTTTCAACCTATACATATTACCAAATAAGCATGAATAACTAAGGATGCATTATGGGTCGTAACTGCTTAGCATACATTCACAACTACAAAGAAATTCACAGAACCTATACAGCTTTTACACTTCTAGACATTAAAGTGTCTCGATTGCAATAAAACTGTTGAGTACCCATCAAAGGATTCAGATAATTTGTAAATAATTATTGTCGCATACCTTTTTCTCCAAAATGTCCTTCATGACTTTGCACAAATTCTCAAATTTAACTTTGTCTTCCTCGAACTTCTTTTTCTCCTCTTCACTTTCAGGCAATTCAAGACCTTCTTTCGTGACTGATACCAATTTGTTCCCATCATATTCCTTTAGTTGCTGTACGCAGTACTCATCTATCGGGTCAGTCATGTAAACTACCTGTAAAAATTATGAGCAGTTGCTATAAAAAACAGCAAATGGCTGAGATGAATATGTGATAAGATAGTAAAAGAAACCTCGAAACCACGTCTCTTCACACGTTCCACAAATGCAGAGCTAGCAACAGCTTCTCTAGATTCGCCAGTAATAAAATAGATCTGTTTCTGGTTTTCCTTCATACGACTAACATAATCCTTTAGTGAAGTCATCTCCTCGCTAGATGCTGATGTATAGAATCGCAAGAATTCCGAAAGTTTTTTACGATTCGTCGAATCTTCATGGATACCAAGCTGCAGTAAATTACGTACAATCAGAAACAATGGCATAGTTTAGTATGAAGTCTACCACTTATTTAATTAACTAATAAATACCCTACCTTTATATTCTTCGAAAATTGTTCGTAAAACTTCTTGAAGTTATCTTTGTCTTCCGCAATCTCATCGAACAGTTCGAGACACTTCTTGACAAGATTCTTACGGATGACCTTCAGTATCTTGGACTGCTGTAGCATTTCACGAGAGATGTTCAGCGGTAGATCTTCGCTATCAACGACACCCTTGATGAAATTCAAATATTCCGGCATCAACTCGTCGCAATTCTCCATGATGAACACACGACGAACATACAGCTAAAGCAGAAAGCGTTAAGTGGGCGGAATAAACTACTAAAATTTGAAAACATCCCAACCTTGCTATAGTTACATACAGCCTGATGACTCCATACAAACCTTAATAGCATTCTTCGTCTTTTTATTCTCAAACAAATCAAATGGTGCACGTTGCGGTACAAATAACAGAGCACGAAATTCAAGTTGTCCTTCAACTGAAAAATGCTTGACTGCAAGGTGATCCTCCCAGTCATTCGACAGTGACTTGTAGAATTCTGCGTACTCCTCATTGCTTATGTCATCGGGATTTCGAGTCCAAATAGGCTTTGTCTAAAACAAAGCATTTAGAAAAACAAATCAATAAAGCTAATCAATAAGCTTCCAATTTTTCAAGAAACATTTAAAACGAATCAATGAGGCTATGTACGCTATTGAACCACCGCACAAGTCAAATGAAACAGCCACGCTACTATTTTTGCACCTACCTTGTTTAGTTCCTCGTCTTCGTGGTACTTCTCTTTGATTTTCTTCTTTTTCTTCTTGTCTTTCTCCTTCTTATCCTCATCCTCATCTTCCCCAACATCCTCAATTTCACCTTCTTTCTCCTTGTCTTCGTCTTTCTTCTCATCCTCCGCCTCATCATCAGAAACTTCCTTGTCACGCTCTTTTTCCACGGTAAGTTTTATCGGATACCCAATAAACTGTGAATGCTTCTTTACAATCTCTTTGATGCGACGCTCCTCAAGATAGTCCGTCTGATCCTCCTTAATGTAGAGTGTGATTTTGGTGCCACGAGTAAGTTCCGGGTCGTTCACCTGTCGAATGATAAATGAACCTGCAAACAAAGATAATTTACAGCATGTGGTAAAAATTAATAAAATAAAGTATTTCAAAGTTGGGAATTAAGTTACCTCCGGCAGATGACTCCCACTGATAGCAATCATCATCATTGTGCTTGGAAGCTACAACAACCTTGTCTGCGACCAAAAATGCAGAGTAAAAACCAACACCGAACTGACCAATCATGGAGATATCAGCACCCGCCTAAAGCATGTAATTAAGCACAGTGAGCAACATTTCAATACATTGGGAATAAAACTGGAATGTAAAACTCAGCATACCTGGAGAGCTTCCATGAACGCCTTAGTGCCAGATTTGGCGATCGTGCCCAAATTATTGACCAGATCCGCTTTGGTCATACCAATTCCCGTGTCCATAATAGTCAGTGTCTTATCAGCCTGCAATGACTCAGTTACAACCCAAATTATTAACAAGTGTCAATTTAAATCGACTGCCTAAAACAAACCTATCACATACAAGTGGAGGGAAAAAAATCCAGACGACACAAATATAGGAATCAAACGACGAGGTAATACCTTATTCGGAGTAATTTTGATATATAACTCTTTTCCAGTCTCCAGTTCTGCTGGTTCAGTGAGTGCCTGGTACCGAATCTTATCGAGTGCATCCGAAGAGTTTGAAATCAATTCACGGAGGAAGATCTCCTTATTGCTGAAAAGAATTGTATGAAATCTTAATCAAATGTGGTCACATATTTCTCATTCAATAGCAACAACTCAGACCTGTAAAATGTATTGATGATAAGACTCATCAGCTGGGCGATTTCCGCCTGAAACGCGAAAGTTTCACCATTCATTTCTTTCGACATTGTTGCTGACTTTCAGATTATCAAGAACACACGAAAACTGAAATTTGAGATTAAGATTACACATAAAAGCTCAATGCGTACATAGTGACTTCAAGATATTCAGGTCTTAGCTATTCCTCTCTACCACCAACTTAAATCAATACCACCTTTTAGCCCAAAAAGAACGCCTCACAATCTATCAACACATAATGCATAACACTCCGAACAACCAGAATGCAGCCAATCCCATTCCCCCGATGACCAACACACCGCACTAACCCCCTTCCCCTCTCACCTCAATAGCCCGATTCCGAACCTCCACCCCGAAGCCTCGCCACTGTGTTCCGATGGAGCGCGTACAGCCTTTTATATCTTCGAGTCTTAGGAATGTTCTAGAACCATTCGTGGGCGGTGCCTGCAGTGGCAACAGCCAATGAATGGTATTTGGTTGAAGTCGACAAGAGAATGTTCTGGAAGGTTCTGTGGGAATGTAGGAATGTGTTCGGGTATGTTCACATTTTGGGAGGATGGGCTGTTCTAGAAGGTTCTGAAAGGGGATGTTATATGTGGAGTGATTTTCTCCCGGGGAAGGAATGCTTTGGGGACGCGTGTGGAGTGATTTTCTCGCAGGCGGGAAATGTTCGGGATGCATATATGTGAGTAAATCACTTTCGGGGAAGTTTTCTTTCCGCGGTGTTTATGAATGCTTTAGTTAATGGAATGATATTAGGGAGAAAAAAATGCGATTTCCGCTCCTAAATCTTCTCTTTTTGGATTTTGTACTTTTGCGATTTAATTAATACTAATTAATAGGTTCAAGTGCTTTTTGCAAAAGTGGGAAAAACTGTGCAGTAAGGAAGATTATTGCATGATCATCATTTCTTCCTTCTCGTCGATGCTGGAATTCAGTACGCTGCAACAGATCACATTAACATGGAGTGGAGTGTAGTCGGAAATTATATGATAGGGGATTGAGGTTCAAATAAGCCCTTTTGTCCTCATACAAATTGAATTCCAGCTCTATGTGATGGAGATTAATAAACTTGGTTACTCCCTTAGATGATCAAACCTTAAGACTTTTTCCCTTCCAGTTGCCTCATTCCAATTAACCCTAGCAAATTTCATATGATATTCCTTTTGCAGTTAACAGTTTGGTGGTTATTGATTTTGTAATGAATATAAGGAAAAATTTGAATACTGTAAGATAGCAGCTGATGGTAAGGAAAGAATGTTGTTAGCACTAATAAAAACTTAATAAGCCAAAGGTTTATGATTTGTACAATTTCAATAATTGAAGCGGTATGATTCTCCCAACAGCGTCGCTATAATTCTTTTCCGAATAAGCAATTTATTCATTTTATCAAAAAAGCATGACAGAAAAGAGCTAATAAAATGAAATTAAGAGCAATCATTAAAATCACAATAAATGTCTGCAGTTGAGGAAAGCAAGTCGACGTCAGCATATGAATGTTACCATCTTATTTCAGTGTTATATTTGGACCCGCAGATATATTGGTTTCAACGAAAGAAAAATACCAGAATCAACAAACATAAGAGTGAATGAAAACAGAAGCGACAGAAAGTACGATGAGACATATTGAGCGAAATATCTGTTTAAGTTGATTCAATCAGATGATAGCAAATCTCAGCAAAATCTTCTGTGATCATTACAATGATTCTGGGAGAGATTTAAAAGGACCAAAAAGAGATTTAAAATTTTAACAATGAAACCGAGATAGAATCCCTGGTAATTTGTCAGTTATCAACTTTAAATTGTAACAGCACTGATATTACATCAATAGCTGAAAACTATACTGAGACTAGATTTGAAAATTTCGCCTTCTATGCTGGAAATCATTCTGAACAAGACGGTTTTTCCAAATTAAGTAGTGCAACTCCTTAATTCAAAATCGGGCTTAACTTTTTATACCTCAGAAAACTACGCTCTTCAGTGTTGCTATACGTAACATTAAAAATAGTTAAAAACTGGGCAAGGAAATAGGAAAGAGAAATTTCGGAAGGAGCTAGTCATGATGATTGGAACACTGACCATCAGCTTGAATCGGACGGAAGTTAGGCAGTTGAAAGTGTAGGATGAATGGGGTGAATCTTAGTGGGATGAATTTTACCAGCAACAAATTTCCATAAAGCCATTCCAATCTCAGTTGATGAATAAGTAGTCTTTAAAATGTGTATGAGATCTCATTTTTTGATCTTACTCGCATCAATGGTTGGCTGAGTCAAAAAGTTCTCGAAATACAGCAATACTGGGAAATACCCACTTACCTAGGCAAAAATTATATTACAGCACTAACGATATTTGAAGTATAATAAGCTATGTGTATGCGTCATTCAGCTATGGAAGAAATTAAAATTATATAGCTACCATCGGTTCAGCATTTTCATCGGTACCAGGCTCAAGACGTTGCCTGAAAAAAAAAAATATTTGCATTATTTGAGAAAACTTAAAATTAAGACAGCTTGCAATATGTGAAGATAAAAAGAAACCTTGCTTTGTTTTCCGGCAATGGACTAGTTCGTGTCTTGAAGGCGGTAATTCCAGACAATTCCAATAATGGGATTTTTGGACTTGTTTCATCAACAAGTGCCCTAAAATTTAGTGTTAATTACTCCAAGTGACTTTTTTCGTTCATTCTTGAAAGGTCAGATGTACAAAGTTTGTAGGAGATATTATACGGTTTATTTATACTTTTCAAAAGCAGAATGGTCAATTTGAAGACTTGTTGCAAAAACGACGTCATCATAATTAGCCGCAAGTGGTCGTAATTTAGATTCCATTTCTTCAAAGCTATCGGATCTCTTACGCAATTCTGGCCTGAGTTTCGGCAATTTATCTGAAAATATAAAAAATATATGTATGACATCTAAACGAAAATTATCAAATCAAAGGATTTAATAAGAAAAAATATTGGAAAAATGGTCATTCAACCATTTTATAATTCGCACAAATAGAACAAAGCCAACAATAAAACAGTGATTTGGGAAAAATCCGCAGACTTACTTGCGTATTTTATGCCTGGCTTAGTCATTCTTGATGTATATTTCTCGGCCATTTTTAGTGACGGCATTAGAGCTTCAAGCACCGAATTAGATAAGGAAGCTGTTTTCACAATCTAAGAAATGCGAACCTTATTTAAATTTTGATTTTTTCTTTTTTCTCAACTACTCATTTTCAAACATAATCACTATATGCAAAAGTGTAGAACTGACATTATCCGAAATTGGAACGCTCAACTTCCTGTTTTGCAAATTTAAAAATACAAAGCCGAAACATTATTCAAGTTATATTTATAATAGGAAATACTATATTCTTTACGGTAGGAAACTGACATTTTCGCAATCCATAAGTTCTTTCTGTACTAATTTAACTGTTTTCTCACTAAAAGGATCCGAAAATGTATAGCCGTAAATATCTTCAAACAAGCGCGCATCCCAGTTGACAGTATCGTAATCTTCCATTAAATAACTGAAATACGTAGCACGTTGATAACTATCTCCTTTTTATCCACTTTTGTCAAATCCACTTTTGATTAATTCCTCAGAAAATATTGGCTACAAACGATGATAGAACGTTACTATTTCATATCTCCACTCTTATGCAGCACGATAAGAGAAATAGAAGATATCGTAAAAATTAATCTTTTTGTATTAATCAGTCAAGCATAATAAATATAACAAAAAGAACCTATAAAGGTAGAATGAATTTTCACGAGGAAACAATGGAACAAAGGCACCCAAATGATTAAGTTCCATTTTCCATCTTTCTAAGCTATTTCGGGAACGCTCTTTGCTGTTTGTGTAAATTTTGGTTGGACTAAAGGAAGGTGAGAGACATCGAATTGACTTTTTCTGAAAACTTTCCGTGGAAATAAAAAGTGATATTAAATCGTACTTGATGAAAATAATTATTACTGTCTAAATTTATAGAGTGCTAACCTTGTGACAACCTCTACGTGATAACCACTTAAATATTAATCTGATTAAAAAGTATTGATAACGTAATAACTACAGCTTGTTTCGCTGTAAAAAAAAGAAATTAACCTTTAAACGCTGAGCAATGAATAATGCTGTATCTTTTGATATATACCTCTTCATATTTGAAGTACAAAAAGTAGCTGAAAGAAGCATGAATTTCAAAATCTTTGTCTTTTTATGGGATTATCTAAAATCCGATAATTGTGATTAAAAGCTCATTATCTCGAAATAATTTTGTATGAAAAATATGAAGTACCGCAAGAAGAAGGAAATCGGCCTTCTGTGTATTTCTGGGGAACAAGTGGTACAGCAGCAAGCGTAAGAACATTGCAAACTAAGGATGACTTAAGTTGCAAATCTAGTGGAGTATCGCTGTAAACAGCAGGAGTTTACTATTAGAAAAAACATTATGAATAAGTATGTAAAATATCTACAAATTCCTTTTTAAATCTTTATTGTTCATATTTAAATCAAAAATCCACAAAATGTTTCATTATGATTTATAACCCACTGAACTGCAATACTCAATTTTCATGTGCATATAGATGCAAAATTAAATTGCCCCGAGTTTAAGATCAGTTGGTATCAGTCTACTATTTAAAATGTTGTGAGTGTTGACCAAGTTCAAAACTATGTCAGCCGTATCATTAAAATTAAATTCATCGCAGCAGAGAATGAAACAAAAGCAAAAGAAAAGCTTGACAAAACGGAGATCAAAGAAGTAGTAGAGATATTCGTGAAAGCAATAACCAACCAACTTAAACTGGGCGATAGATTCACCTCCAAAAGCCACGGTTTCAGGTGAGTATCAATCAGTATATCGAAGCCAAACAATTCAAAGCAACATTTGGAATGTGCAACGACGTTCTTACTAGCTGCTGCGATTTGCCCCTGTACAGAGAATAAGGCTTTCAATACGACATCTTCCACACGTACCATTAGCACTGCAATATCAATTTCTATTATTACTTTTTGTCCTGCTTAAATTATACTTGAATCAACAAAACTATTTCTTGCAATTTTTATGAGACTAATAATAATGATACTGATCAATAGAACAGATCTCTATTTGTCTTTAAAACTTCACTTCAGCAGTCTATACTTTGTAAAACCATTGAGTACTAACCTTTTCCTGGAATGTACCTTTCTCTATTTAGTCCTAATTAACTTGTTTAAATATTACTTCCATCGACTCACGTTATAAATAACCATTCAACATCACAAATCTTTCAATTGCTGAATTATAAGGAAAAGAGAAACGTACAGTTTGTATCTATCCCGTTGCTCTGCAATTTTCGGAGTAGAGCGCCCAATGTCCATTTGTGACCACAATCCTCGGCATCAGCACTTTCGTTTCTGAAAATGAAAACCTTCAGTTCTGGTTTTCAAAAAGATGGTAAAGTCGAAAATATGGAACATGATCATATTTTTAATATTCACCTGATGAATTTCCCATTGTTTTTGTTAAGCGAATAGTTGGTAAGATGAGAAAAATGTTGCTCATAGCTTTTTGCACTGTTGGAGTATTTTTCCGAAGCAAACCGTGCAAGTCCTTCACTATAGATGTAAGCGACCAATGGATAAAAAGATGTCACTAATACATATAATCTAAAAAAAAACTAAAAACTAATAAAATTTTTCAAGAATTTTGGGAAAATTTATCATCACTGTGAAACTACGAGCTTCAGTTTATCGTCCTACAATTTTTGGAACTGTTGCTATTTCATAAATTTATACATTCTTCGGAAATTTCTTCTTCAATTTCTAATTAGTTTACAGAAAATGATAAAGAAAAAGCTATTCCCCGCACTAGAATCACTTTTTTGATTTGGGAGAATTCAAAACTAGAAATTCCAAAAGTGATCTGAGATGAAAATCTAATTCTTCGGTACATATTCGTGCAAAAACCAGAGACAATAAAAAATATATAAAGATCTCATGTCTTGAAGCGTTTAACTTTTGTGCATAACCAGAGTTTAACTTTTTGCATTATCGAATTCTTTTACAATAGAATTCGAAGTGAATAACTAATCGCGATGCAGAAATAGCAACCGCAAATACCGTCGAAAATGAAATTAATTCACTGAACTTTCATTGAGAAAACATTGTGCATAATGAAAAGCAAAAGCAATGCCATATCATTGATATTCCAATCAGGAAGTGTATTAAAAAATAACTTGTATGAAAATTTTGTGCAGAACATTTGTGAATGGCAGTGTTCAGTGTTCAGCATTCAGTATGCAAACAGTAGGAGATACTAATAAAACATATATTTTACATTACCAAAGACTGAAAATTACCACAAGCTCTTAACAACAAACCTCAAATCAAATTTGTGTCCATTAAGTAGATATGGATTTTCGATATAACGTGAAACTAGCATTGGAGATCCAAGTGGAATATCTCCAGGCTGAAAAAATTATTTTCCAATTAGAAATATATTTAAAAAAATGATCCTTAGTCTAACAAACTCTCGTAGCCATACTCGATATAAATTAACAAATTCCTGACAATCGTTTGAGTTTATAGAAAAAAATGAACCAAATGAGCAGACATTTAAGGACGTAAAACTTAACACTTTGGATAATAAAAATGCCATTGCCACGTGAAGAAGCAACTGGTTTTACGATGAAAGGTTTCAGACCGTGAGATTGTGCATTGAAATGATCAACAAATTTCCGATAATCTTTAGGAGTAACAAAAAATTCCGGAATCTAAAACAAAATTAAATAATTTAAAAATGCGATCTGGAGAGAAAATTAAAGTTTTAAGCTGAGATGAAAAGAGGTCAACTTAACAATAACTGATTCGCTATATTCTCAAGTTTTATAAAAAAAAAATATTGAAAAAAATTTTTTTTTTCAACTAGGAATATAGCAAATTTCATTTGTAAGTTTTTTTTGCACATTTGCACAAACAAAATAATATGTCCGAATGAATGATTAAATGCTAAGAAAGAAAATAAATTAATGTACAATATTGTAAGAACTTCCGAATAAAGTTTGAGCTCGTCCCAAGCATTCGTATAGCTTATCCTTTCTCGTTAGCAAAAAACTTCTCGGAAAGTGATTCACACGCTGCCTGTAAAAGAAGAAACAAATAAATGTTTTAATCACTTATTCTTCGTCAAAATTGTTTAGCATTCTAATACAAATGCATGAAATTTAAAGACGAATAATTTAATTCATACCGACAAATTTCAGTTAAAATGACTTGTAGGGAATAATAAAAAATAAACGTAATATTAAAAAGCTGTTATACCACGAAGCCATTGCACGCAAAACATGTGGTTTCAAATGTGAACCGGTCCAAATGATATTGCAATTTGAATTTTTTGAGGAGCACTGCAACTTATGATTACGAATCACTTCATATCATATTTAGCAATCAACCGAATAAAACATTTTTATGAGAAAAAGTAGATGAATTGTTAATTTGAATTTCTCTTCCCAAAAAGTTGACCTGTTCAAATCCATAACTATGCAGTACAGTCTTTACAAGCGTTTGATTACATTTGATCATCTTGAAACGTAAATGATATTTTTCGCCGATTCTTACATATTTATTGTAATTTTTCAATTTCTTCCCACTTTTGCCAGCATATTTCAGTGCAGCCGATGTGAACTTCAATATCTAAATCTATACTAATTAAAACACACAAAAGAGAGTAACTAATAATGTAAATGGAGTATAAACAATAGATACTGAAGTAAAGAAAGATTTATGAAAACCCATAATATTAAAATAAAGAAAGATTTATGAATAACTCATAATATGAATAATCTATGGATTAAGAAAGATTTGAATAGGTGAAAATAATTCCAACAAATATTTGAATCAACAATGTGATTTTTGAAGTGGGGGAATTAAATAAGATATGAGTAAGGAATGAACAGAGAGAGAACAAAAGTATGATTAGAAGCGTATGTGACATTTGACATATTTTGAAACATAATGTGTTTTTGAAAAATAAACAAAACCTCTGCTTTTAGATAAAATTAATCTCTTGTATTCTATTGAAATCTAATGAAAGCAAACAATAACCTCTCCTTTTGTGGTGGTAATCTCTTCCTGACAATCGTCACTTTCACTCACCTCCGTCTCTTCCGTTTCGTCTGGCATCTTCGAGAGATCTGAAAAAGGATTCAAACAATGCTTTCCTCATACTATTAGTTTATCTTTCATTACATTACGCCTTCCCATTCTAAAATAAAACATAAGGCAAAAAAAACGACACATACGGAGGACGATAAACGAAATAGGTTCAACCATTAATAAACGGTCCACACATTGGAAGAAGGCTGATGCGTTAGGCGGGGAGCAGTGAGTTAGGCCGTTTCAGATCCTTAGGCTTTCAACTTGTTTGAACATATTTTCATCCTTACAGCACTGAAGAGGTTTCGTGGAGTTGTGAAGAATTTTCAGAAGATGTGATGGATCGATTGCGAATTAATTTTTTTACTTATAATTTGACTTATAATTCACTTATAATCACTTATAACGGATAGATGGAATGTTTTTTTAATAGCTGTCAGATATTGATAATGCTATAAACTGGACATAATGAGAGATGTGGAACAAAGAAAGTTAAATTTAACTTTAATAGTTCAAAAAATGCAAAAAATTAGAATTTAATGAGAAGCTGCTGCTCATCGATTTCATCCATTCTAATCTTGTCTTTCATCTTGCTTGGATAGATTGTCATTTCAAATCATATAAATTTATTATTTTATTTTGAAATTTTTAAATGAAATTCTTTGGTTTAAATCCAGGGAATTTCATTTAAGAGGAATTTCATTTCGTTTTTCACTTTTATTTATAAAGAGAATAAGATGGCGGTAATCGATGAGATAATTCAGGAGTTTATGAACTCGGACGATGACGTAATAGAAATATTAGTTACAGTACCTCGGACTGCTTTTATGTTATATAAACCATAATTACTGTCAATAAATAATAAATATCTTTGTAACATCATTTCACTGATAGTTTTATGTACATTATTTTATTAATTTATACTTCTGTATGTTCATTCAGTTTTAGATGTCTTTATTTAAAAAGCTCTCAACTGACACGAGAAAATTATGCGTAATGTTAAGATTGCAGAATGGATATAGTTCATTGTCGACAAAGTTATTCTCGCGTTCGCGTAAACGCTTAAACTTTGGTTTTAGCTGCTTTAACAAGCACGGACATTGCCCTTTTTGGACAGGGACAGTACGCTGCATCCTTTCCTGGACTTCCTGGTATTCCTGGAGTTCCTGGTGGTCCACGCAAACCTGGTGCACCGATATTTCCAGGCTGCAATTTTTATGAATTTTAATCAAGAAATACAGAAAGTTCAATAAATGAAAAAAATGTTAAGCTGTGAACAAAGACTATATGTTTCAAATCAGCTTACTTCTCCCTGATGTCCTGCATAACCAGGTTGTCCCGGTTGTCCTGGATTACCGGGAGGTCCTGGATGACCTTTCGGTCCGATTTGTCCGGGTGGACCTGGTGGTCCAGGAGGTCCCTTACGTCCAACCACTCCTTCACTTCCTGGTTGACCTGGCTGACCTGGCTTGCCATCCTGTCCTGGGAGACCTGAAATGCAAATACAAATAATTGGAGAAATTTGTACTGTTACATAAAGCGGTATTTGTAGCACAATCCCAAAGGTGTTTTATTTTTAAAAAAATTGGCAAGCAATATTACAAAATAAGTTATTATATTCACCTGGAGGTCCAGGAGGTCCTTGTGGTCCGCTGTTACCTGGGCGGGCATCTTGTCCTGGATTGCCTGGTGGTCCTTTCTCACCGGGTGGTCCCATTGGTCCTTGTGGACCTGGTTGTCCGATTGGTCCTGGTGGACATTGTTTGCAACTGACCGCAGGCTGAAAGGTCATTGGTGGTACAATTCCTGGTAAACCTGGTTCTCCTGAAAACAGTGGCATTGACATCATAAGGCGTGGATGACTTTTTGATTATTTACACAAATAAACTAATTCTGTTTTTTTATGCGATTCAAATTCAAAGTATTTGATATTTTGAAAAATTCGATTATAAAAAGATATTAATAGAATTCTGTTGAGTGATTTGTAAGCCACACCTCGCTGGCCAGGTTGTCCCGGAACTCCAGGTGTTCCTGGGGTTCCGGGTTTTCCAGGAGGTCCTGCTGGGCATCGGTCAACAGTGTCACAGTTGCAAATTGGTGTCACTTGACGTTCTTTGCGACTGTGTGGTACGCTATCACGAGTAATTATCATTTCACTCCATACTTCCTGCTCTAATACCTGCAATTGTATGTGAATCATGCTAGATATTTTGAGAGCAGACTGAAGGGAAATAACCATAGAAAATGAATTTTTTTTTGCGATATTAAAAATTTGCAACTTTTACTGAATTTAAACGAACAATTCGAATTAGAAATTTTTTTTAGCGTCACAAGTAATTAATTATCGATGGTAACATACGCGAAAGAGATCCATTTTAACAGCCAATGTACCACGGATATCTTCCATGCGTCCCATCAGATATGGAATGTAGAAGAAACATGTCGCAATTCCGATCACCGATACACAGCTTGACAAATGTGCTGTTGCCTTCAACATTTTCTGAAAACTGCTGGCTTGAGAGTTATCAGATAGGACCTCCTTAAATACTTTATCATACCAAAGGTGTAATAGCATGCAAAACAAAATGATTTTTTTCCAATATGTAGGCAGTATTTTTGTGTTTGTTAGAAACCGGTCGATCATAGAAGCGGAACGTTCAACATGTCATCCGTTTGTAAATTGAAATACACAGGTTAATCAGAAAAGTATTGCAATACTGAGCATCATTTTTGGTGTACTTCGTTTTTCATCCCTTTGTAAATTTGGTTTTTTAATGACTTAATATCTTTAGAAAGATAAATTAAACCGATAAGATAGATAGCTCTGTTATGTCTATTTTATAAGAAATATAAAAAAAATTTGCAATAACATTTTATAAATCACAAATTAGCATACTGTGTATATTGCAGAATGCTAGCGTACAGCAGACCAGGCTTCCTCTTTCATCTTTTCGATGTATTTCATGATCATCCCGACTCACTCATTTCAGAATTTGGCTCATTATTGATTGCCTGTTTTTCTGTAAAAAAACTCTACTTGAAACATATACTTTTATATCACTAAAACATTGAAGTACACTATTAATGCCTAAAATTAAAGGACCAATCCGGTAACTAATGTCGTAGCAGAATATCTTGTATTCCAAGTCTCTGGAAAATAAAATTCTGAGGACATCTCGCTTTATAACTCAACAATTAATATGGACAGTAAATAACGATTCATCGACGAGTTCATATATTTTCAAAATATTCAGTATTAGCGAATTCAAAAATAACACACAAGCATAGCGAGACTTCCCACTTTCTGGAAGTTTCCTTGACAGGAGTAATGACAATTCCCAGGATCGATCTTTTTTTTTCCTCCCCAATCTCACTTTTTTATGCGTACAAAAACGAGTGGAATCCATTTGAAAAATGGACCATTTTTAAAAAGAACTTTATTATCATTAAAGTGTAACAATATATGCCCGAAAAGAATGAAATGTCTTTTAAGCTTTACTATAGAGTTAATAATTCCTGACAGAACGATGACAAGGCTAAAATGAAGAAAAATAAAAGTCCTATTTACAAAATTCATTTATAAAAATTATCTAAGCACTTTACGACTTGCAAATCAAACAGGATAGAATAATGATTATTTAGTATAAAATATTGTTAAGGCTGTTAAAGTTTTCTAGCTATCAACTCTGACCTCTGGCATTTTATCCAATTACAAACAGTCAATAACATTATTTATAGCAGCAAACAGTCCGTAACATTATTTATAATAGTCTTTTAAGATGAGATTATTGAAATCAAAGAATTGGATTTATTGGACGTAATATATTTTACAGAACTTATGATTAACCGCTTCAGAAACTCATGCGAGTTTAAATAATCAACCACAATTTTGCTTGAAAAATGGAATAGATAGATGCAAAGTATAATGATCTCGCACGAAACAACATGAAATGAAAAAACAGCGAAGAAATCAAGGTCAAACTGAAAAGCCATTACGTCGCATCTCGTCTTGTCGTACATTGGCTTTCAAAACTGCCTGAAGCAATTTTTTGGAATAATTTCCTTTCTTATTGCTTTACAAACTATAGTAGACTTTTGCTTTATAATAAGCTATAGTAGCGCTTTATCACAGATGAATGATTTGATTTATGTTGAATACATACATCCAACATATTCCAAGAAAATCAGTAAAGCAGCAACTATATGGAATCTATAAGTAAACAGCTCGAAAGACATTTCCACATTTAGATGCAGAAAAAATTCTCTAAATCTTTTGAAAAAGAAATTGGGACCTTTGTGCTTTCTTCATCAATTTGTGTATACTCAATAGCACACGAAATTTTCGGTCGTTGCGAAGATTTAATAAAAGGTTGTGCTTGTACTAACGGCTCCTTCACAGGATCAAGATAATCCAGCATGCCATTGGTCATTCTCATTGATTCAGTACCGTACAAAGCTTCCTGACTAATTAGGATCTTAAAAAAAAACTATTTACCTATTGATTTTTTATTAATAACCAATCAAAAATATGTATGGTTTTGGTTTCTGTACAGCAAAATCTTGCACAAATGCAATGAAGAGAAAGTTGTCAGAAAAGATTTTCATTTCTTACTTGTCTATTCTGCAGTGCTGCAGCATGCACAGACTGTTGATGCAAAGGAATAGTTGATAAAAATCGTGATGACGTCATGGGTACCTCTTTTTTCCTGCACCAACAAACACATTTTTTATTATCGAAATTATGCTCCATTATATAAACCTTAGAATATAAAATCTCAAACACCTTATAAAATGCTCGATATCACGCAAAAATTAATAAATTCCAATTTTCTGCCCCTTACAAACAACTCACTATCTTCTTTCCAGATGATTTTGACCATCTAAAATACTTAAAGTTGAAACAATCTCATGATACTAAAATTACCAGCAGTAACAGGAACGAAAAACTTATTTTACCAATCATCGGCACTGGATTTTTCCCGACCAGTATTTATAGCAATACATTTGATTCCAGTCGGCTTACAAGACCGGTTTACCTACAATTTTTAGTCTTATAAAATGTAAGTTGACATAATCCTTACAAGTTTCAGATAAACAATTGGAAGATAAAAAAGTTATCATTTATAAATGTCCTGGACATGAAATGAACATCTTTACCTCGGGAGGAATGTTATGAAAGTTACGGCGACGTGGATGTGGCTTAGGAGCACTCGAATTAGAAACGGTAGGCATTAATGAGGAATCAGATGATAAAAAAGTCCTTTCTGCATCGATCGAGCCAACTACACCCCTAAAAAAGGGCGTGAGAAATAATAATTCGAGAAATCTTGAAGCTAAAAGAAAAATCACATACGGATGGACTGTTTCATTGCTCCACTCTTCCTCTTTCACAGTAAGAATCTCATGAACATCTGCAGGAATGAGTGGTTGGTCCAAAGCACATCTACCTAAAAGCATATCATAACTCATCAAAAAGCTTGCAATCCGTAATTCAAGATCGAAATCTTGAATCAAGCACCTTAATTTGAGTTCTTTACCGAATTCTCAAATCTGCATAGGATTTTGATATCATTTTGCTTTAGTCTTTTGTTTAAACGAACAAATATGATCTTCAGATATTTTAACACATAAGAAAAAATGTGATACGTAGATGAAACAGCATAAATAAGTAATACCTGATTCAAAAATTTGTTTTTCGCCTTTCTGTGTACGCAAACTATGGCTTGGCTTGGGTGGTCTGAAGTTATGATATAAAAGTAACTGCGTTTTTTAACTACGACATATAACCAAATTATAATATATGACAGAAGTTAATTTTCATGTAGCCATAAAATAAAGCTCACATGGGAGGAGGAATCAGAAATGAATTCTTAAATGGAAGATTTTCAGATAAGGTAGATGAACTCGCGATGCTTGAGTTCAAAGATGCTGAGCTACTTCCTGAAAATAAAATCATTTTAATATTCGAGTACAAAACTATTATCTTAAATAGTCAAAGATGATCTTAATATTTTGTCAATAGCAAGCAATACAGAAAAATTCACAAGATATATACCTAATGATCGTGTTGAGGAGCAATCTTTTAAACGAATATAAGTATGAGTGGTCACAGAGCCTGTGCAATTGGTATTATTAGTGATAATATTTGACACAGTGGGCGTTTCTACCTGATAAATTTGCATAGGCATAAGACCATAACATTAAAAGTAGAAATTTATCAAAAAAGTGAATAAAATTCAAAGCAAAATTAATGGAAAATATAATGTGAAAAATAGTTTTGATATTTTTTCTGATGACGCATGACTTTGATATGAACAGACTATTCTAAGGACAGTATATTTCGTATTCGTTTTATAATTGTTCTAATCAGACAAGAATTATTTCAAACAGAAATGACTCAATACCTTCATCAAAATACGAAAAACATACCTTAGAACTATCAGTGAAGCAGCGATTATTCACACAGCCTGCAATAAAAAGAATTTATTTGCATTTTCATCTACAATGTTTTATATAGGCACTGAAAACTATACATATGAAAAATAACTTCAATTTTCATGTCTAAATTGTATTTTAATCCACTAGCAATTCTTCTAGCATAACTTAGTTCTTTCACTCAACGATTTGGAATTTAACGAAAAGTAAACTTTTTCTGTATTACCTGAAAGATTGTCAGCTGCATGAAAAATCAGACTGTAATTGAAATAAACACGTAACAAAGTGATTGCATAAAAGCCAAAGGATAACTTCTTTGTAAAAACAAGAAAAACTCAATAATACCTGCGACCAACTGATGGTCGTCACCATCTTGTTTTCGGAGTTTGCAAGCATAGCCTAATTTCATGATCCACATGTTCATCTCCTAAATTATGATGAAGCTGAATATTGAAATCAAAAAAACTAAATTTATTTAAAGCAACATAACCTTGGAATAAAAAATATAAAATACAGAAATGAAAGAGTACCAACTCACTGTTTCGCTGTGGGCAGCCAAGTACAGAACTTCCAGCCTTTCACTATGTTTTGCTTTGTAATGAATTGCGAGAACCCAATTCTGGTTACCAACTTTCAAAGAAATATTGGTATCAATCTGGAAACTTTCTATCTTTCAAAGAAATATTGGTATCAATCTGGAAACTATCTATGGATAGTATAAATATCATTCTCAAACATTTAATGCATTGAATTTTTTCCAAGTGACATAATATTTCAAATGCTAACAATCGACCGAATTTTCTTCCTTCAAAGCAAACACAAGAAAGAACTGCTATAAAGTTTTCTATTTAATGTAATATAATACTAATTTCTTAACAACAATTCCTGTTTTGTACGATTTAAAATATGCTTTAATGATCAGCTGAGTCAAATGTTATCCACGAGAGTCTTCTCTTCCTTCAGCTTTAACATTGCAGATAATCGGTAAATTGGAGTGGAGAATTAAATATTCACGTACACCTCCTTTTGCAGTGAAATTTAAGATTAGTCAATAAGTAGACAGCTCAGTTTTTTATTTTGGAGAAGAATATCACTAAAATAAATGTAAAGGTATTTTCTTTTAATTGAAAGTTTAGAAAAAAACAAAACCTGTAGGACATATCGTAAATCCAAAGTTTTACGAACTTTTGAGAAAGGAGTGCAATCTTCATGTTGTTCCAATAGAAATGCTTCTTGATCAGGAACGTCTGCATGTTTGAGCACGTAGTAACGAAGCACCCATGTTGTCTAGAAAAAAACGAAAATTTGAGACGACAGCAAAAAAACGCAATTTTTTAATTATCACAACAACTAAAATATCTTCCATACACGTCCTGTATAAAAATATAAAAATTCAAGAATAACGTCGAATTTTGATTACTTCTATAAAATCAACTAGAGAACAGAATAAAAGTATAGAACTGTTTCACAACATTAACAAAATATTATCTCATCAGATGATGATAAATGATTCCTATAGAATAAATGCTTCTAATAAATCATTAAATTCATGGCAAATCCATAAACTTAAATTTGTCTAACTTACAAAAAATTTTTTGCCAGAAAAAATCCATGGAAATTCTCGTTCTTTTAATTTTTCAAGTGTTCCTTGCATTAGGATAAATGGTGATGAATTCTTCCCTATTTCAATCACACTCATTGTTCTCTTCCTTCTCGTTTGATCATCCTTTTGTTTACGCTCATTTACATCGCCTATCGGAATCAAACGCTTCAGTAAAAAAGTCAAATTTTTTGAAAATTTACTAACTTTTAATAAGATATAAATGGAAATTTTGACGTTTTTTTACCGTTTATTTATTAAAAACAAACATTCCTACCACCTTTGTCCTTCTTTTCTCTGTGACATTTCAAAATAGCAATATATTATCTCTCAGTGATGATTCAGGGAGTAATTAATTTATGCAGGAATGATAACAGTAATTTTTGTTCGTCTTCAGACAATCTCGCCCTTGCATTTTCCTCTCTCCTCGGAAGAATCTGGCACTTAACCTTTCTTGCACTAGGGACTTAACCTTCGCTCGCACTAGGCACTTAACTTTTCCCCGCACTAGAGACTTAACCTTTCCTAACTTTCCCCCGCACTACTAATAGTCCCGTGTACCCTATGAATATAGCGCTGCATGATAACTACAATGCGCTTATGATGTGCTTAGGAAAGTTGGCGCGTGGATTCAAATTGAAGTGTGGGACAGATGAATGGAAGAGTGACGTTATACATCGGTTAGTTGCGCGAGATGACGTGCGTGAGCTTTTATGCGTGGCTATTAATGCGTCCCTCCAACTCTTGCAGACCAGCTGGTACGAAATGAGTGATCATTGGTCATTCTGTGAAGTGTTTAAGATTGCTCATCAACATGACTCCTATGCTTTCGATCTGGACCTCTTCTACTTCCACAACCGCATTGTGGTAAATACCAGCAATATGTCTTTAGAAAGATTGAAAGTGATTAGTCTGTAAATTTCCTAAGATAACTAGGCCTGTTTACGGTACTTTAGTTGGAGAGGATATCACAGTAATGGGAATTAACGTGAAGGGTTAATAATTTCTTGAATAATTAATTAAAGAAGGAAAATATCATTTTAAATTAATTTTTGTCTATTTGGGTCGAATTAATATATGGGTGATATGAAGAGAGGCAGACATAACCCTCCTATCAAGGCTTAGCATTGTACAAGAAAAGTTACGAAAAAATTAATGCAGCAAAATTTAATTTCTCTACAAGTTATTCAAGAGTTAGACAAAGTTATTGGTGGATTCCATGGAGAATAAGCCGATTATTCCAACTGTGGATTAAAGTAAAGAATGAAAAAAATATCAGTAGTATCATTTCATGTAGAGTGATAGAAAATATGTATCTATTTGGAATTGTTTTTAAGTAATATGTTACTGTTTTAAGGTCTTTATATATATTTTACTGAATCTGTTTGTCTCTTTAAAAGTAATAGGTTTAAATGGAGTTTTTTCTTATGCTCTCTAATCAAAGTAAATATGTCTTCTACATGAAAGTTAGATTTTGGTAGTTTCATTATAGCAGTTCCATAGATTCATTTTATTGAAATTCCAACTGTAACTCTTAAAATTTCTCTTTTCACGAAAGCAAAACATAATAAATCGAAATAAAACGGTATAACATCTGATCTTTAGATTTATTTCTTGATCAACGAATAAATCTAACTTAATAATCTGACCATTTTTTTGTACATTTTTTTTTAATTTTTATATTCATCCATCAACTCTAGTTAATTCATTCCATTATTATCTATAATGAATTTTAAATTTAAATTCTTTGCCCCTAATTATAGAGTTTCTTGTCAACAGCTAGCAAGCATTCGAAGCATTTCAAAGTAAAACTTTATTGTCTCTCATTAAAGTAAGTTTCAGGTTTATTCAAGTCAGCCAAATGTCCGGAACTGAGCAGGCTTTCTGCACAACTAATCTTGCCACGCAATATTTCAAGATATTTTCACTGCTAACTTCTTTTCCCTTTAATTCCTTCTTTCATACTTTTTAGTCCCAACAAAAATAGTTAAAGCTGTAAAATTCTTCAATTGAGAGATTCCTAGCAAGGACTAACACCAATGAAGTACCATTTGAAACTTCTCAGAAAAGTTGTGTTGAAAGAAAGTTGATTCAGTTGGCATTTTTCACTGATGTAAATAGGATTTAAGTGTTATAAGCATATTGATAAAAGATTTCAAACAAACATTATAGAAAAAAATGGCATGTTTGCTAATCATATGTTGGATAGCTAAGTTCTATCAACAAATAGGTCTTTCAGTTTGTTAAGCAGTTAAGAAATAAACCTAGAGGAAGGAGGAGGAGGAGCCTGAAATGTCCATGCTTCAATATTTGACACGCATACATCTGGAAGACATCAGAATACCGTGGTATACTTGATCTGATGATATTCCATCTTTTTGTATTTATTATGTTGACAGATAGCAATCATAATAAAAACAGACGTAAAAGTTGTGAAAATGACAAATTCTGCTTTCTGTTAGCTCAAAAATAAATGAAGCATCTAGCGGACGACAATTGATTTTTGTCTCATTCTCTTCAAGCAGAGCTTATTTCTTCTCTTCTTTCTTTCATCTCCGTCTATTTCCTTCAAAGAATAGAAATGGATAGAGGCGACCAGAGAGAGGGGAACTACGTACGTACGATGTCTCTCTCTCTTTCTCTCTCTGTGTATGAAATTGGGAGAGGGAATAGTTTGAAGAAAGGGAATTGAGGATGAGTGAGGCTTTTAAGGATGGATGGAAAGGATTTCATTGCCGTAGAGCGTAAGGAAGCATAAGGTAAGCACGAAGGTAACAAGACAGCTCTCCCCACAAATATACCATCCCATCTTTGCCTGAACAGAACTCATCATCAGTGTTGTTTTTGAAGAGTAAAGAGTGGAGTGGAGTGGACGATCCCCTTCTCCTTATAGATCTTCTGTTCTTCCCTGCAAAACACTTTCAGATTCGATCCTCTCAATAGGGCACATGCAGTGGTTTTAGATCCGTGCTAAACTTCGATCCTCACAGTTTAGCTCGCCGTTTCATCGATAACCATAGGCATGTGTCTCTAGGCTTGGGAATCTTGTTAATTCATCTACCGGAGGGCTTATCCTCAACAATTACTTTTCATGCCACATTTTCATAAATTCATTGGCTACTTTTTTCTCCAAACTACTCGACTCTGCTCCATTCCTTTATTTTCCGAACGTAAATCTAACAAGCATCTTTGAGCCATTTCAGTCTTATTCCGTTTTGTTTGGAGGCTTTCAGAGCCATCT